AGAAGTGCCAGTACAACACCCTCCCTAGCATTGCTTATGTATTGCGACCTTCTATGCCACAAAGAATATTTATGCTTCAAGACTCACATGAAGAAAATAGTGTACCTTTCTTTACTGTGGTATATCTAAAATATAACACATGATTTATAATAAAATAATAAAACATAACAAGACCCTTGAAATTTTAAGGATATTTATTTTTCCTTGCTTCTTCCTTATAAGAAACATCACAAGGGGTAACCAGTGTTAACAAATTTGTAGGCATATTCACAATTTTTTAAATGATGTTTTCTGTGTTTTGGTGAAGTTTTACCCAGCTGTTTAGGGTTCCATTCAACATTTTCTACACAAATTGTTCAGTGACATTGGTTACATTGTTCACAATGCATAAACATTCTCAATATTTCCTTTCTGCTTGTTCTGTTTCCATTAATCTTGTTTCCCTGACCTCTTACATTCTCATCTGTGTTTTAAAGTAACTGTTGACTGTTTGTTCTCATATAGATGCATTATTAAAGGAGCACAGTACTCACAGGTGATATTCTTTATTTTGTGAGCCAATCTGTTATTTAGCTAAAATGTGAGCTCAGGGGCTAGTTGAAGTTCAAGGTTTCCAGAGTATCTCAGGGCAATACTCTCGGGGAGTCCTCTAGTCTAAACTGGTCCAGCAAGTCTGGACTTTTTAAGAACATAAGTTCTGTTCCACAGTTTTCTTCCATTCTATGAAGACCCACCTATTGTGGTCTCGATCAGAACAGTTGGTAGTGGAGGCTGAGCACCAGCTAGTTCTTTGGTTCTTCGAGTAGATGAGACCATGGTTTGTGTAGACTCTTAGTTCTGTAGTCTAGTCACTTCTTTGAGTTTCTGGTTTCCTTCTGTCTTGTTTAGTCCTTTCTTAGGCTGCGTTCTCTAGAGAAGCAAAACCACTGAAGCATATATATGTATATATGTATATGTGTGTATATATATATATACACACATATACATATATACACAGAGAGAGAGATAAACACAGAGAAAGAGAGACTAATATCAAATAAATGGCTTATGCAGTTGTAGAGTTTGGGAAGTTTCAAGTCCACGGGTCAGGCTGGAAGCTTCTCCTGACTCACAAAGCTACAGGGGCTGGCAAACTTAACATTAGCAGGTAAGATGGCAGCCTGCTGGCTCACTTGCTGCAGAGGCTGATGAATCTCAAGATTGGTAGTTAAGATGGCATGCTGCTGGCTCACAGGCTGTGGAGGCTAATGAACCCCCAGATTTGCAGTTAAAACAGCAGACCTCTGTCTCCGCTAGCTCAAGTCCTGAGAACCGGAGGTCAGGTGCAGGATCCAGAGTGAGCAAAAGACACTGACCTTTGCCAGAAAGTCCACATATACTGGATGCAGGCCAAACCCCCAAGGAAACTCCCTTTCAACTGATTGGCTGCTCATAACAGATCTCATCATTGAGGTGATTACATTATATTAGATCTCATTATGGAGGTGATTATATCATTACATAGCTGACAAACTACATCATACCTGCCTAACCACTGAGAATCGTGTCCGAAACAAGTTGATACATAACCTTAACCATCCCAGCTCCAGACAAGTAGAGACCAAAAGCTTTATATAGCTGGCTGCTCCCACGCGTTTAAGACCCCAGATACTACTCACCAAACTGGGATGTAGAACATAAACTTTATGGACTACCTTCCAATAAACTGAACGAGTTTACGCATGTCAAACTTGAGTGTCTCTCTATTAATTTTCTAAGATGAAATCTGCCAGAACAGTTGGTGTAGTAGGCAAGATTTGTCTATAATCTAATATGGGTTAACAACAATTGGAGCCGTCAGCAATTGTTATCAATGATTAATATCTGGTAACATCACAATTGACACAGTCTGCTATTATCAATGATGAACAAATGTCATAGACAAATTACTTATTATTATTATTATTAAATTAATATATGCTTGTATTCATGGTAATATCTAGACTAACTAAATTTAAACAAAAAAGGGTCTGTTTAATATGAAAATGTGATATTGGTCAGCCATGCTTACCAACTGGTATATGAACAAGACACTTTAAGACATAGCCTTTCAATTTTTCCTTGACTGTAACTAATATTAGGAGCACTGGTGGTGTAGTGGTTAAGAACTTGGCTGCTCACTAAAAGGTCAACAGTATGACTCCACCAGTTGGTCCTTGGAAACCCTGTAGGGTAGTTCTACTCTGCCCTATAGGGTCGCTATGAGTCGGAGTTGACTCAGCAACAACAGGTTGTTGTTGTTTTTTTTTTTTATGCTTAACATTAATATGGAGCCCTGGTGGAGCCATAGTTAAACATTAATATATACAATAACATCTTAATTTTGAATAAGGGGCATACTTACATGAGAGTAGATGCCTCTTCAGGGATCCTATAGGGCCAAGTCCTTCCCCTTTGAGGTACTTACAACTCTCCTGTTACTCATTGTCGGTTTGGTCCCTGTCTTCCTCCCAGCCTAGGCTCCACATGCACAGGAATCAAGTGAGTTTGATTCATACTCTTTTCACCCCTAATACATCGTTGTGGTTGTTAGCTGCCGTGGAGCTGACCTGGACTCATGGCAACCTTATGCACAACTGAGTGAAACAGTTGCCCAGTCCTGTGCCATCCTCATAATTCCTAGCATGTTTGAGCCCATTGCTGTGACTATAGTGTCAGTCCCTCCCATTGAGGGTCTCCCTTTTCCTTGTTGGTCCTTCGCTTCACCAAACATGACGTCCTCCTCTATGGATTGTTCTCTCCTGATGATGTGTCCAAAGCAAACAAGTCATACAATATTCTATTGTGATCCATAAGTTTTACATTAGCTAAATTTTGCAAGTCAATTGCCAGGACTTTCTTCCTAGCCTATTTTAGTCTGAAAACTCCACTGAAACCTGTCCACCTTGGGTGACCTTGCTGGTGTTTGAAATACTGATAGCATAGCTTTCTGCGTCACAGCAACATACAAGCCACCCCAGTGCAAAAAAATGACAGATAGGCAGTGGTATGTCTAGGCAATGAAAGACGAACTTATCCTTCTTGTTACACTTGTCAGAGAAACCTTGGCTCAGAGACTCTAACAGACCATGCTCAGCATGGTGCCTTTTGCCTTCAGATGAGTGGTCTTGCAGGAGTATCTGATTCCATGGACTGCTAAATGGTGAGGTTTGGCATGACAGGACACAAACTCTGAAAGGATGTCACTTTAATGATCTACACTTGAGGAACTATTTATTCTTAAAAATCTAACTCAAATGCTAAGTCCTCTTTAAATACTCCTTTATCATTTATCACCTCATATGTTTTACATATTTCTTTGCTTATTGTCCGTCTTTTTTTAGGATGTAAGGGTAGGGACAATTTTTCTTCACTCAATTCCCAGAGTCACCATCCTCAAATGTTGTCACATGTAAAACACAAGCACTTAGTGACTACATACTAGTTACTAAGACCTTCAATCTCAGAGAAACTAAACACTTTCCAGGTAGAGTAGAAAGCCCACCTCAGACTCACACCAAAACTTGACTTCACTCAAGGTCTCCACTTTCTTTCCCAAAGTCAATGCTGTCCCCAATTAAGTCAATTGAGCATTCCAAAAGTCTGCACTAGATTACATTTGCTCAAATAGTTGTATAACAAGAAGATCCCCTGACAACAGTATCTGTGGGTTTCTAAATATAATAAACTGAGTATTTTAAACCTTCCCATATAGAATGCAGGAGGGCACAGATGTGGGTTTTGTGGCACGGTCTTCCTGGGGTTTACTCCTTAAATTTAGCCTCTGTTATTACAGAATGTATCTTATGGAGGTAAGATTATTGTTTTTGCCATGTTCCAACTTTACACTTCTCTGTACATAAATGGTCATTATGAGTCGGAATGGACTCAACGGCCACGGGTTTGGTTTGGTTTCTGGTACGTTTGAAACTTGTCAAAATTAAAAGAAATCTTGATGCATTTCACTCTCTCTATGACATTGCATTTTAATTCCAATTGTTACTATTACATAAGCAATTCCCAAATACACGAAATCATCTGGTGTAATTTTCTCAGTAATACAAACCCTACATACACAACTTTGAGACTATTCATATTCCGTTTCTATGAATATTTAATTTGCTCTACCACTAAACAGCTTTATATGGAGTGAATATCCCTATGTTGAATATTTTCTGTAGTATTTTCCATAAAATAGGGAATTGTATTATGTTGAATATTTTCTGTCGTATTTCCATCAAGTAGGGAATCCTGACTCTTGTTACTACTGTTCTTTTAAGGAAACATGCCTTCGCAAGTTCCATTAAAATAAAAATTCTAATACAAAGGCTGTGAAGGGTTAACTTTACCCTTAAAAGATAACCTCTAAAACCTGTTGCCAGTTTCAGTCAACCAAATTGAGGGATTCTGTATATCTTCTTTAAAATTTGTGCATTTAATGAATTAATTAGACACAAATCTAATCATTGTTTGTAGAAGGAGGAGGGAGAAATTAATAGGCTGCAAGTTGGGGCAGGGGGAGATAGTATTTGACTATTAAATATTGGGATGTACTCGGTCTATTAAGCCCCTTTTAGTTCAAAACACTGTTTGGGGAAATGAGCGGACACTCTTCTAAGTCACCAGAGTGATTTTGCTAACTGCAGTGAACTATCTTTGCTTTCTGCGTCCCTTAGTGGCGCAAATGGTTAAATTACAAACACGTCATTACATAATATTTCCTTTACCATTGCTATAACAATTTATTGTTTCTTTAGGAGCAGAAGCTCAGCTCTTGCAGTGTAACTCTTTTATGATTGTGCATTGAATGATGAGGGGAATATGAGTGAGCAAACAACAGAACATTGCACAAATACATACCATTTACATGTTTCCCAAAGGTGAGGGGATTTTGTCTATCTCATCCAGGCAACACAGCCTGCAGACAGTGGAAACATGACTCATGAGAACAAAGAGGCTGACAGTTGGGAAACATGCGTGGATTAGTGCAGAGACATTCTCCAGCCACCAATAGGGCTTATCAGCAAGAGCCAAATAGCATTGAAAGATGGTAGATAAGGTGTAAAAAGAAAGGTGCTCAGCAGGAGAAGGTTAGTTTTGGTAGCTCTGGACTCAGGAGAGGATCTGCAGATGACGTTCTTATGAAGGTGTTGCACCTGCTTCTTGTGTCTGTACAGGATGAAAACCATGGAGCCACTGGCCCAGTACATGAACCCCAAACATACAACATCAGGGACAAATAACAATGCTGCATACAAGGAGTCTCTGGTTTTCTCGTGACGAACAGAAGCACAGTATACAAGATCTTTTCAATATGTGATATTCGTATTGCTCCATTTGCTAATCAGAAACACAGGAAAAATGATATTTACCAGCGTTTGCAGGATCCAGCACATGAAAACAGAGGGGCCAATGTACTTGGGAGCTTTCCCCTTAAGCTCTGCCCACCTCGAGTTCCCGGGGCTGATGGTGATGGCCTGGAAGATACTCAAGAGGCAGGTGCTGGCAAGCGACACACCCTGGCCCACTTTGGAAGTATAGGCAAAAGGCTTGCATGCAATATCATTGAAAAAACCTTTCCGCCCAAAAGATACCATTGTCTGGGCGATTCCTCTAGAGAGGATGACCATGGAATTGGCTACAAATATGTGCTTGAGAATCAAATCTGTGGGCCTTATCCTGCACCTGGTGAAGTAAAGGAAGGTATAATGGTAAAGAAGAGAGAAATTCCCCAGGATCCCAACTATCGTCTGGGATAAGTAGGCAATTCCTACTGCCAAATCCCTGACATCCATTCTGATAGTTCTCAGTGACTGATATTTGTCTTCTAAGTCAGAGAGTCCTGCATGGGAATATGAGGTGTGGGCCACATGTATCATGTCAACTGAAATCCACTATTCTCCACTTACCATTAATTCTCACTTAGAAATAATTACTTAAAGTTCTTCTTCCATTAAGAGGCTTAAGATTTGAATGTATAACCAATAAAGATCATTTACAATATAGGAATCACTGCAATGAACGTTATACATGTAGTAACTTTATTCTTCACCAATATATGAGGCAGGCAATTTATTTTTATAAAGATGAGGAGAACTTAGACACAGAGAGGGTAAGTATTTTTTGTCTAAATTCATGCACTTAAATAAAGGCAGATTATAGAGACACCAAGCCAGCTGGGCTGGTAACAAAACTAGTGCATTTAACCACCACGCTATATTAAAATGCTATATAAGTGTGTTCTTCAAATAAAATAGATCTAAATTTAGTTTTGTTTTTACATCTTGCATTTCATTTTAGATTGGTGGGATTTTTTAAAATAATTTTGGTTGCAACAAGTTTTTGAGTATAATAATTTATTCTATGGGTCAATATCAATTATGAATTAAGCTTTAGATCTCTTCATGAAATGTAGATGCATAAACTGCAGTATAATACCATGACAAACTTGCCCCAGGACAAGTTTGATTAATGAATGCAAGAATGGCTAGATTTAAGATAGAAACAAAAAGTTTCATTTGCCTTTATGCCAGGAACAATGGGGCATTGTCAGCTATCATAGTAATTACTGAACAAACTCATAATATGCCCTATACTACGGGATACAAAATATAAATACATGATGAAATACTGTAGTGTAGAAACCAAATTACTACTAATTTCAGATCATATACTTGTCTATTTATTAATAGCTGAGTTAAGTAAAAGCGTTAGAAATGAGCCAACATTTGTGAGAAATATTAAAATACAGACTTATGCAAAATGAAATCTTAAGGAAAAAAATTTTGTGTATTGTATGAACTAAAATAGTAGATGTTTGAACTGATATCAGACTACATATTTAAATCAGGGGAAATATCACAAGACACATTTGTGCCTGACAACTACAGTCTGAAGCTTGTAATTATAGTTACCTTTCCTTAAATGCTGCTTTCCTCCCGTTAAGAAGGAAAACTGTTGACCCGTTGCCTTCGAGTTGATTCCGACTCATGGCGACCCTATAGGACAGAGTGGAACTGCCTCATAGGGTTTCCAAGGAGCTACTGGTTGATTCGAACTGCTAACCTTTTGGTTAGCCTCTGAGTTCTTAACCACTACGCCACCAGGGGTCCAAGAAGGAAAACAGTCTCACTATAACCAACACACTATGGATGTTTCCATTAAAGACACAATTATTGTCTCTATTAAGCACTTAACACCTCCAGATTTCGAGAAAACAATTCTAATCCAGGAACTGCCATTCATGTACACTTTCTGGGCAGGATTCGATGATTCCTGTAGATTTATCCTATTCTTTATGCAAGTATGGAGGTATTACAAGCATGCCTCTAGAAATACTGAAAATTTGGTCTGTGATTCCCATAAGGTAGCCTGAACAGCAGATTGATTTTAGAAATACAGTCCATTAACCACCTCAAAAATCAGGTTTCATTATCACTTGGATTAAACCTATCAATCACTGTCAGTGAGGATTCCATTAAACCACATTAGGAGCCATGGGGAAGTAGTGTAGGATCTAGAACCCCCATCTCTCTTTGCCAGCTCAGCTCATGCCTCATGAAATATTCCCCCTTCCTGAGTGGCTTTGACACTGGACCAGCTACAAACCCAGAAGAATGTCCTTTTCTGACATGGTCACTTATCCAGACTCCTGATACACCTCCTTCCTTTACAGTCAGTCCCCCAGATTGAAATAGAAAATACTCACTGACTCCTTCCCACTGCGTGGGTAGTGGGCTCACTGTGACAGTCACAACAGATAGTACATGTGTGGAAGGGAGGTGGCCAGATCCTGAGATATGGGTTAGTGATTCTGTGACCTCACCTCCCCACAGAACTGCATTATCATTTCACCTGTAGCAGCAATGGGAGTACAGGGTTGGTGACCAGAGAATATTCCTGAAAAAGCTTTCTCCAGTAGCTAATTACCAGAAACAATTAATAGTTTCTGATAGCATGTCCTAAGAGACTAATTGAGTGTTTGGTAGAGCCTTTCCTTTTGATGATCCCTGAGGCAGACAGGGTCCATACTGAGGGAGTAAGAAATGCTGAGGTCTGATATGTGAGAGATTGGCAGCAAGGTATTTGCGTCTCATTGGATTTTTTGCTTCCCTGAGATGTTTTTCTGCCAAAAATCTGGTGGAGTAGAACTGCTCCATAAGGTTTTCCAAGTTGTGAACTTTTGGAAGTAGGTCACCAAGCATTTCTTCAGAGGTCTCTTTTGTTTCACTCAAACCTCCAGTCTTTTTAACAACCAAAGGTTTTAAATATTTGCACCACCCAAAGACTCCAAAATATCCATAAGAACCCCTTAGTTTGAACATACAGTAGAGGACTGCAGCTAAAATTTTGGGTGAACAACACTTAACAGCATTTTCTCTCTTCTGAAATACCAGGTGTCATGGATTGAATTGTGTCCCCCAAAAATATCTGTCAGCTTGGCTAGGTCATGATTCCCAGTATTATATGATTGTCTACCATTTTGTCATCTGATGCTATTTCCCTATGTGTTGTAAATCCTATCACTATGATATTAATAATATGGATTAGCAGCAGTTATACTGATGAGATCTACAAGATTAGATAGTGTCTTAAGCCAATCTCTTTTGAGATGTAAAAGAGAGAAGTGAGCAGAGAGACAGGGGGACCTCATACCACCAAGAAAGCAGCACCAGGGGCAGAGTGTGTCCTTTGGACCCGGGATCCCTGAGCCTGCGAAGCTCCTCGACCAGGGGAAGATTGATGACAAGGACCTTCCTCCAGAGAGAGAAAGCCTTCCCCTGGAGCTGATGCTCTGAATTTGGACTTGTAGCCTATTACAAGAGAAGAATAATAAATAATAAATAATAAATTTCTCTTTGTTAAAGTCATCATCTTGTGGTATTTCTGTTATAGCAGCACTAGATGACTAAGACACCAGGTATAGGATGTGTCCATAGCAGGTCTGGCAGGCGAGACTGTTTATTTGTATCCAGTGTTCAGTGTTGGAACGAAGTGCCAGGCCAATACCTTCCCTAGCATTCCTTATGTATCAAAGAACGTTTATGCTATAAAAATGCTGGCATGGGGGTGTTTGACTGCCTCTAACTTCACAAGGGGGAAGGCGAATCAACATCAACAGCCCAAGGGTGACTCCTATGAGGCAGAGGTCAGACATGCCTCCTCTCTCCAAACTTTTTACCAATTCTGACACTACCCTTCCATGGCACTCTACTTTTCTGCAGGGTTTGATAAATCGTTGCAATGGCCACACAGAACTCACAGACCATTCTCACAATTATGGGGTTTATTAGAGAAGCAACGGGTTACAATTCAAGTTTAGGAATACTCAGAATACAGTTCTTCAATCAGGACAACCTCTTCTCAGCTGTGCCCACAGGCATGCCTCTGTCTGGCCCTTGGCATCTCAGTCCCTTGGCCATTTTCCCTGGCCTCTGCTCTGCTCGGGCAAGTGTTGCAAAGCTCTTTAGCTCCGCTGACAAGTGCCCAGAGGCACCCTACTCTGCCAGAAAGCCTCCTGCACAGAGGCTCAGAGCTCTCTTTCTCCATAGGTTAGCAAGCCTATTGTAAGTGCCTTGCTCTATGGGCTGGTAAGCCCACAGAACGTTCTTGTGCAGATCTCCTGGTTCTACTGCCACCTGTTCTCTGCCACTGCTTCTAGATGTCTCTCGCCACGTCTGGTGTTACAGCTCTCTCTCTGTCTCCTGGGTCTAGGAGATTGTCTTATCTATACAGTGCTGCTGTAACAGAAATACCACCAATGGATGGCTTTAACAAACGAAATTCATTCTCTCAGTCTAAGAGGCTAGAAGCCTGAATTCAGGGCACCAGCTCCAGGGGAAGGCTTTCTGTCTGTGTTGGTTCTGGAGAAAGGTCCTTGTCATCAGTCTTCCCCAGTCTAGGAACATGTCAGTGCAGGGACCCCAGTCTAAAGGACACGCTCTACTCTCAGCTCTGCTTTCTTGGTGGTAGGAAGTCTCACCTGTCGCTCTGCTCCCTTCTCTTTTATATCTCAAAAGAGATTGACTCAAGATACAACCTAATCTTGTAGATTGAGTCCTGACTCATTAACACAATGTCTCTAATCCTACCTCATTAACATCATAGACGTAAGATTCACAACACATAGGAAAATCACATCAGATGACAAAATGGTGGACAATCACGCAATACTGGGAATCACGGCTTAGCCAAATTGATACACATTTTTGGGGGACACAATTCAATACATAATAGGTTCTCAGGACAGGGACCTCAAGCCCAAAGGATGAACTCCACTCCCAGCTCTTCTGGTAGTGATGTCCCCCAGTCTGCCTCTAGGATGTCTCATTTTAAGCCTCGCAGGATGGCAAAACTGACCAATCCCCTTGTTAGGGTTCCATACACTTATTTGCATGGCCTCATCTCCACAAGAATGTCATGCATCTAATTAGCGTTATTAGCAAGCTATCCAATCCCCTTGGTGGGCCACAAGCACCTCATTTGCATGGCCCAACCCAAGCACCTTATTGCATGGCCCAAGTATGAATCTAGGAAAATTGGAAATCATCAAAAATGAAATAGAACACATAAACATCGATATCCTAGGCATTAGTGAGCTGAAATGGACTGGTATTGGCCATTTTGAATCAGACAATCATATGGTCTACTATGTCAGCAACGACGACTTGAAGAGGAATGGCATTGCGTTCATCGTCAATAAGAACATTTTAAGATCTGTCCTGAAGTACAATGCTATCAGTGATAGGATAATATCCATTTGCCTACAAGGAAGACAAGTTAATATGACTATTAT